CCGGGGAAGCGCGCAGGGCCCCGCTCCCTGCTCTCCGCAGCCTGAGCCCCTGCCCCTGCCCCTCCGGGGCCCCCTGGAAAAGTTTGCGGGAGGCGGTTTTTTGCTTTGGAGCCGAGCGCTCCTGGGGAACTGCAGCCTCCGCTCGGCTGGGAGGGACCTGAGCCCCGAGCGCCCTCCTTCCCGAGCCCCGCCGACCTCCACCGGCTCCGGGGTAATTCCCCTCTGTGGGTTGCGCCTTGAGGTGTCCCTCAGCGGCCGCCGGGAGTCGGGCGGCCCCGACCTTCATTTACAGGGCACCCAGTTTACCGTGGGGTGTCCGGTGGTGAGGGCAGAGAACTGGGACATCTGGTTTGGTCTGCCAGCCTCATCGGGGCGAATGCCACCGAAACCCGGTGGTGCCCGGAGCGCACGTCTCCACCTTCTTCAGAATCACTCCCGAGACCCTGGCCCTGAACCTCGCAAACGCCCCTTTCCTGGAAGGCCAGACCCCACCTCCTGACCGACGGCCGAGGCGCACTTTGAGCTGCCCGCATGAAATGGGAGAGACGCCTCGGTTCATTCCCGTGTCTCTCTCCTCCTCCGTCTCTCTTTCCCTCCCTCCCTTGTTTGCTTTCCGCTCGAAGCCCTGTTCCTGGCGACGTCTCTATCTTTTCTGCTTCTTGCGGAATTCAAGTCCAGAGAGACCCCCCCCCCCTAAAAAGACTCTGGTTCTGCGAAAACCGGCCAGTGGCCGAAGCGGGACCCTCGCAGCCAGGCCCTTCAAGGGGAGCCGGCTCTTCGCCACTGCCACCCCCTTTTCTTGGACGCCTTATTTTTTGTTGGCTGTGGCGGATTTTTATATTTTAGTCTTAGCAATCTTAGCAGGTTTCTGTCCTATTCTTAGTATCTCCTGTACATTTTTATTCCGGTTTAGTGTGCAGATGCACGATCTCTTCCCTCTTAGGAAATGTAAACCGAAGCCTGTGAAATAGAATGACATGGAAACGGCAATTTTCTGAGAATCGGTAGCGAGCTCCGCGAGATCTGGAGCAGCTCCAGTTGCAACGAGTTGGGCACCGATGTTGCAGTTTCTCCTCTGATTCTCACAGGACTGGCTATCATTTTAGAGCTGATGGTTGGTGACATCACAAGCACCCAACAAGACCTGTCAGTTTTATTATAGGTGGTGTGAATTACCTTTCCCTCCGCAACTAATATTGCAGCAGTTACGAATTTGGTATTGAAGAAAGACAACTCTGGGCTGAGCGTATTTTTGTAGCATTGCAGGTCATTGGTAAGAGCTGGCCTATTTCTCCCCACCCCACAAAATGATAGGAGGGAAAAAAGTGCTAGGGCGAATAGATATTTAGCATCATTTTGTAGTTAATGCTCAAGTGTAAAAAAGCCCATCTGAATTGGTTCTTAAGGTTAGTTTTCACTGGTCTAGTGAATTTCATTTTCCATTATGTTATAGCATGAAAGCATTCACTGTTCATAAACTGTTACTTTGTGAAAGCTTTGCATGCCATACACAGCCTCTCTGTTAGGATGAACCCTGTCCCCCAAAGACCCCATGCTGGGTGGCATTGAAAGGGAAAGTGTGATTTTCTTTTGTTTAACCTATTCCTGACAGCAAAGAGTTAATGGTGAATGAGTCATCTTTATTAAATAAATCAGAAGTTACCTGGGGAGGCTTATAAAAATATTTTGTGTTTGTGTTATTTTTCCTTATGGGCCCCGCATCTTTCCAATATTGATTTTTGCATCCCTTGGGAATGCTTGGATGGTTGCTGCCTTCTTCCTGATGGTGAGAGGATTTGGGGAGAAAGAAACCTTAGCAGTTGCCTGCTGTGCATCGCTCCACCATGTCTGGTTTGCTTGCTCCTAGGCCTAAATACCTATAGGCCTTGTGAGAATTGGGTACCCTGGATGTGTACCTATGTTTGGCTTTCTCTCTTGTCCTAACTTTCTTCTGAGCTATCAGGGCCCTGTTGCAGACTGCTGCTAACTCCAGTCAAAGGCTTGCTTTATAATCTAGTGTTTTGAGAATTTGGAGGTATTTTTCCCTTAGTGATGTGGGCTGGTTCCAGAAACCTAGCTAGCTCATAATGTTAATAGCTGCAGTGCCATTTGGCTGAGCCTTGTGGTTCAGGGAGCAAGAGCTCTGTGGTCTGAGAACTTTAGAGACTAAATACACAAAATATAGGCCACATTTGTCTTAGGCATTTTCACTGACTCCCTTTTAAAACCCACTCTTCTCTCCACAAGTGTTTTCTGTCCTTCTGCCCCAAGCCTTTGGGCCTATCCTAGCCTCGAGTTATATGCTTCAACATTTCCCACTACCTTCCTATCTAATGAATATTCCCCTTCAGAGAATCCAGGCATGACTAACTCTTTAGGAGAAAACAATTGGAATTAATTCATAGTAGCATGGAAATGCCTGATGGCTTCAACCGTCCCACGTGTATTTGCATCCACCCCCCTTAAATAATAAGATAACAATCATTCATTAGTACAACCTTATGCTTACTATTGCCTGGCCCAAATTACAAATATGTGAAATTTGAGTGAGATTAGAAATTTGAATGCGGAGGCCAACTGTCTGAGGCCTGCCTTAGCTTCTCTAGACTGCTACCTTTTTTCTACTTTGGAAGCACAGCTTCCTGAAAACTTCAGAAATTCTCACCACATCTCCCTGGCTTGCAAGTGTGCATGCAGCCAACATGGGAGCAGAGACAGAGGCATCTGCGTGCAGGCCATTTCCAAGCTGGGTCTTCAGAGGTTATACTCCATTTCCCTTTGAGGAGAAAATTTTTCATTCTTGATGTTCGCTGTATTTTCAGAGAGGAAAAGTAGCAGGAAATAACAAAGATTGGATAGAAATGGGAAAGTTCCTCCCTTCATGGACAGTCTTCTCATTGCCTTTACTGCAGTTTTTTAATTTAAAAAATCTCATGGGGGAGGAACACATAGGGTTAGATCTGGGGAAGAACCATCAGTCCTCCTGTTAAGAGGACCCAAGTGCCCCCCTTAGCAGGACAGTCTAGCCTCTGTGGGCTGTGGTCCTGAACCCCTTCCTGGGGGTGCTGGCCCCCTGAGGGGTGAGGCGTGTAGATTGGTCTATATGGTCAGTCATATTGTTGGAAACTGCTGATCTTGGAAGGAAAAATGCCACGTGGCAGAATAGAAAATGCAGATCATTGCGTTTCTCTTAGAAAATTAAATCTACTTCTAAAAGGAATCTTGTTTTTACCCCCAGTAGATAAACCTCTCGAGATTGTTGCTGTCGAAATACCCAGCAGATTAACTGCTTATTTGAGTCATTACTTACACATTACAGCCTCACTTCTGAAAATCAATTTGCCAGGATGAAAGGAAGATTTTTATATTGTTTGGAAAAAGGGAAATTATTGGGAGTGTGTACGGAGTGCTTGTTTTAGGTTGTGGCTTTAACTGGACACGGTGATTTTGAAATTTGAATGGGGTGTTTTCAGCAGCCAGAGAAGATGCAGACAAAGGAAATAGACAAAGGGATTTTAATTTGAAATCCCTTGTACCTAGGGCAGAATTTGACAAGGGAGGTTTTTCTGTTTTCCATCCAAGTGCATTCATGCATTAAGGAAGATTTGGGGAGATTTTACCATGAGGTGATGGAGATGGTGTTTAAACCTACCTTTAGCAATCTTATCTATCTTTTGATCCTTTGTAAGTATACAGGTTTCAATTATTACAAAATCTCTGAGCTATAAACTGGGCTGGCAAAGCAACCTCTGAGTATTCCCTCTTGCTTTGTTCAGAACTTGGTCAGGGTGCTTAAGGCTGGGTAGTAAATGGAACTGAGAAGTTTTAACAGGGTCTTGCTATAATTTGCAACAGAACACAGTTTTTGGCAACCAGAGGCTTAGTGCGATGCCTTCTTGGTCTAAGAAGATGATGCCTTTTACATGATGCATAGGTGTAATATGTTGCACCCTGTGCATATTTTACGAAATGGTGCCTAAGCTTTAACTACCAATTTCTTCATCCGTTGGAGCTGTTGTGATGCGGCTGCCCCACCTGTGAAAGTATGTGGTCGGCTCTCTAGTCAGAGATGGTGTCATCAGCTCCTGTTATGTAGAATGCTTGAGTGAGAATTTGGTTCTTTTTGAAACAAAAACATGCCATATATGATCTGTTTTCAAAGGAGAAGAAAGAATATAAATTGGGATCATACTGAAGATGTTTTAATCTTCAACCCAAGGCAGTTGAGGTTTGGGCATTGCCTGGGAGTCTCGAATTTCTGTTGTCAAGGACTCTCAAATGAAAGCCCAGGAGACAAAAGTCAAACCTCTCTTACATATGGCCTATCTGGAAAGCTACTTCCAGTTTTAGCAGGTTTACCCACTTCACTATTCTAAGAGTTTTTCAACATATGCTTGGTACAAAGGGATGGCTACTATAGAGCAGGAGGAGAGAAGGGAAAATGGCATGTAATTTAGGTCTGGCGGCTCCTGGTGGTGGTGGTTAATAAGAAATGGTCCTTCTCCTGTTACCTGTCATTGAGGGAGCACTGTGGGCATTTGTATTCCATGACTCATTGCTTTGGGCAAAACCCAGCCCACCAGTTGGGACCTCGCAGGTGGATCAATGCAAATCAATGCCCATAGCTGAGGAGCCTGCATGGCTAACTAAATGTGGGTGGGCTGTTGGTGTTGTTTTCCTGCGTGAGCCTAGCTAGTTAACATGGGGGTGGGGGTAGGGCTGGGTTCATACGTCAGGTCAGGGAATGGTGGGATTTGCAGGGCCCTTATAAAGAAACAGCTGCTGTTACCTTGCTGGAACACATGCCAGGTATTTCCTCTGATCTTTTCAAGAGATGCCAGAAAGGCTGATTTCCATGTGAACTCTCCTAATCGTAAAACCACACCTTGGCCCAAGGGCTGGGAGTTTGCAATCCTTGGTTAAGGAAGTGTAGCTCTGGCTGTGGGTTTCTTAATAAGGAAACATCTAACTTCCCTTTCACCTTCCTTTTGTCAGGCTTACTAGAAAGCAGCACTCGGCTAAAACCCCACGAAGCCCAGAACTACCGAAAGAAGGCCTTGTGGGTCTCCTGGTTCTCCATTATCGTGACGCTGGCCCTGGCCGTGGCCGCCTTTAGTGAGTATCGGGGCCTTGCCGATCCATGATGTGCCCGGGCTGCCTGTTTTAGTCTCTGACTCCTGCGGGGGGTGCTTTTGCTTTTAGTTGACTATTATTGATGAGTAAAATGTTTTAGATGGTTGGATAGTCAGGGTGCTTGTAAATGAGTAAGATGGCTTCTGTCCGCTGAGGAGGGAAGAAATGGAGAGCGGTGCTTGGGAGGCTTGGCTCGCATCAGTCTGTGGGTTTGTGGAAGTCGATTCCAGCTGCCAGCTGGACAGGGAACATATTCTCCTGGTGGCTGCCTTCAGCTCGGGCTGAAGTGACAAGTGTACATCCTTGAGATTCATATTTTGAGCCTGATGCAATCCGATGAGTGCGCACTACTGCAGGCATCCCCTCCCTTCTCCCGGTTATATTCCCTTTAAGGTTTGGAATAAAATTATGGGCACATATTTTTATGAAGGAAAAATGAGAGGGTCCTCTTTCAAGGTTTCAGTGGCCACAGAAACAAAAACATTTATTACAATCAAGAAAAACTAAGACAGTTGAGCTCTTCCCACCTATGGCTAATCCTGTCTGCGGGGTAGGAGGCCCTCTGACGTGGTTTTCTCAGCTCACCTTTGCCTTTGGAAGTGTACACGTGCCGTCTATTTCTATTATCGCGCCGTGATTCTCCAGCTTAGGCTTTGGCATTCAGCTTCAGCTCAACCTTGGTAGAAACCAGTGCTTTTTAATGCTAGGGGGAAAAAAGGAATGCCTTTTGCAATTAGTTTATTACCTTAATAGAAAGATCTATATTCTAAGTGAGAAGCACCCGACAAAGTGTGTCATGTGGCAACCCTCAGAATAGGAGGAAAAAAGGACTGTGTCCGCTGGAAGACAGGGCTCTGTGTTGTTTAAAATTCAATTCTGCACAGTTAGATCTGCTGCCCGGAGTTGGTGTTGGCTCCCAAGAGGGAATATTAGATTCTGACCAAATGCCCCCGGCAAAACTAGGCATATATTACTTAAAGCAATTTATATTGGAAACATTGTACCATATCTTGGCTCTCAAGAAAAGCCAAACATTTTGAAACAGGGTAATGCATTTCAGGGTATAAACATTTAGCTGTGAGCCAGAAATCTAATCTAGAGGAATTATAATTCCTGAAAATAGCTGCTGCTTCCTCTCTTCCTTTTTTTTTTTTTTATGCTGAAACAGGAATAACAAGCCGGATTGCTGTCCCTGGAGGATAATTTGCTTGTGGTGGCTGTTGGCAGGCTCAGATCAGACACCACGATTTACATATGTGAGGCAAGAGAATGGAATGAATGGAGGTGGTTTACAAACAGAATGACAGTCATTCAGATGCGTCCTTGTGTCTAATAGAGCTGTTAGCACTTTATCTTGTGGGTGTTCGAGTGGCGTCCTGAATGTGAAGAAATATTGAGTAAGTTTTTCCTTTGGAAGAGTGACACTACATTTGATGTACTTAATCTCATAACAGGGACAATTTTTGAGGACATTTTGGTTTCACATGTTATGCCTGGATCAGTTGGGTTATCTTGAAAATTTGGTTCCATTTCCTTTAATAGGAAGAGTCTGTTGCATAATGCATATGGAATTAGAATGTTGCTTTGGAAAAGGTTTTTTTTTTCTTTATAAAATGATTTTACATCTTTGTTGTAGCAAGTGTTGTTGACAAGAAGGTCCAGCCTAAGAAAAAGTCTTATCAGAGTTTATTTGAGCCAAACTGACAACAATCGCCAGGAAGCAAAATGTCAACAGATTGAGAAAATGACTCCGAGAATGGCAGTTTTACAGCTTATTTTATACATTAGAATAAAAGGAGGCGGTGTAAGAGCAGTCAGAGGAGGTAGATGAAATTCATTGGTGGTAGATTAGGGAAGCAGGAGAAAGCAAAGCAGGGAAATCTCTGAGATGGGTAAAAAGAAAATGGGAGAGGCACAAACATTGGTGGGTACAGGGTAGTTAACAACTATGTTGGGTGTACCTTGAGAGGTCTGGAAAAAGGGGGGGTTACTCTGACATTCCAAAGATATGTTATCTTAGATGCAAAAATAGACAATAGACAGTCTCACTTAAGATAAAGACTGACCTTTGTCAAGGAACCTACAGGCCTAGAATGTTATTACTGCCATAACTAGCTTTTATTTAGGAATTTTTATGTTCAGACCATCCTGTGTGGTTACTTTTGGTCTCTGAGTTTGTGAGGCCCGCCATGCAGGCCTCCCCTGAGCTTGTTAGGTTTATACATTATGTGGCCCCCTTTTTTGTCCGTGGTATTTAAGTCAAATACTCTAACTTCTTGCCTATAAAATGTTGGCATTGGCGTATAATGTCATGATCTTAGTTGTTTTCTGTAGTACATTTATTATTTTAATTAGCTATTAATATTAATAATAGGAAGAGAGCAAAGGGGAGGCCAGACATTATAAGCGTGGTCATTTGAGCAGCTTCACCAGGAAGCTACAGTTTCGTGCTCCCCAGGGAACCACCAGTCCATTCCCTATAGATCACTGGGGGAAGGGATCGAACAAAGGGGGAGATGGGCACATGCACAGTGAAGTTGGGATGACATTGGGAAGGTGCTTGCTTGTCAGTCTAGCCTGGGGAACAGTGGATTAGCTAGGGGGTGAGCCCCATCAGAAGCATGTGAAATCTCGAAAGGATGATTGGTTAATCTGAAGAAGCTCCTGGTTAAAATCCCGAGACAAAAAGTTTTCTTTCTCTTGTTCTCTCTTGCTTGCTCTTGCTCTCTCTTGCTCCATGACCCACACTTGCAAGCGCTCACCTGTTCTTTCACCATAACCATATGGCTTAAGTAGCCACATGGCCCATGGCCAAGCGGACCCCACATGCAATGGACTGTAGCTGGGGACACAAGCTAAGCTAGCCAGATGCTGGAATGGACTGCACTTTAATATGGAACAGAAATTCTGGGCGGTACCTTTAATTCTAGCCCTGCTGAAGACAAGATTGGACTTTTACCATGGTAAGACGGAAAGTGATGGGGCCTCAGAAGGGAAACTCCTTAATTTCACATCATCATAAAGCTTTCCATAAAACCCCATCCCCCCGTGGGGGCCTTAGGAAATTATTTTCCTTGCAGCACCCCAAGAACTCCACTTCCACCAATAACACATTCCATTTGTTCCCAGGTTACTTTTAACTTGTTTTGATTTAGTTAAACTAAAAAATATAGATGAACTATATTTTTTCTTACTTTAACTATATGGAGTAGCTATAGTGTGTGTGTGTTTCATATTTTAAACCCTTAGGATGGTCTTTGGTTGTATTGTTAGGGTTGTTGGTTTTACTTTTTAGCTTCCTAAATGTATTTGTAATATAAAATATTTAAAATCCTTTCTAAAGCATCATTTACATGTTGACACACTTTTGTGCAATCCTTTTCATAGTTTCAGATGGAAAGAAAGTCAATAGGGATTAAACAGTGTACATTGACTTTTGAAGTTATGCTTAAATTACTATCTGAAGGAAAATTTTATGTTTCAGAAATAGCAAATGTATTTTTTAAAAAGTGTCAGAAGGAGCTCCTGGGGGGTTGACTGAGAGATGGCATGAAATGAATAGTCTGTCCTATCCAATGAAATGGTCATGTTGATTCAGTTAATATTTTTAGAGAGAATTGCTGCAGAATCCCAACATGTCCCTGTTTGAGATGGCAGAGAAGTCTTCGGAGTTGTGTGCCATGTGCATGTGCATGTGCATGTGCATGTGCATGTGCATGTGCATGTGCATGTGTGTGTTGGCAGGGGTGATAATCATGGTGAAGAGAAGACCGTATTTATCGCTATGTCTTCTTGCCACTGTTGGATGGTTTACCATCTCTCTGGGGGCAGGAAGAGCATGCAGTACTCAAGATTGTTAACTGAGATATATTTTAAAAACATTTTCAGGTGGGAGGAAAATAATTTAGAAAAATATTTCTTAGAAATAAACTTTATCTGAAGTTTTGTTTAGGTAGTGTTGTTAAACCCCAACATGTGAGTCCATCTGCCTGCGTGCAGTAGTCAAAAGATGAAGGAGCGAGAGTTTACAGTGCAGAAAGGAATTCTTTAGGATTGGCGGCAGTCCCGAGTTGGGTGAGCTTGTGCTCGAAAAGCCCTGGCTGCTGGCTGGCAGGGAACTAGCAGGTTATATAGGGCAAAATCACAAGACACCATGGATTCGAGGTTTGGAGGATGTGTTAGGAGCTGATTGGTTGAAGGTGAGGTAAGGGTAGTCAATCATTTCTTCAGGTCTTGAGGACAGCTCTGGGCTCAGCTTCGGTGCCCCTCTGTCTGGTTTTGTGGAGAGGTAGCTGAGGCGGTCCATCCACCTTAAGGCTCGGGAGCTGCCAGAGGCTCAAACCTTGTAACCATTAGTGAGGACCTGGCTGTTGTCTTGTACTGTCTTAGGGGTTAGTGATTTTTCAAGGGGAAAGGCTAAGGTCAGTGAAATGTGTAGAAGAAGAAGTACTTTTTAAAACTAAGGCTACAAATCAAATCAAAATGATAAAGATCCTCGGTTTCAATACCAGACTTAGGTCTCGCTTATTTTATAAACAATTCAGATGTTTTTGAGACAGCTGGCTCATCCTATGGCTGTTCTCTCGCTAGGAGCGGTGTTTTGGAGCTGTAACTGCTGGGGGCAGTCAGAATTCCTCTTTATTTTCTCACCTGCCATTTTTCTTTAATCATAAATGCTGATTTTTAGCTGAGCACCTGAAGAAATGCTGTTGTCTCTTGTGTGTTTGGAAATGAAGGTTATAGATATGTACAAGTTTTGGGACACTTCATTTTTTCAGCTAGAGAAATTTCATATGTTAACGTAGCATCTACATTGCAAATAAAGACTGTTACCCTTCACTTCATATAAGCTTTCAGGCGATCAGATATGCTGTGTTCTCTCAAATTAGTAGTTTCTAAAAGACCTAATGATACAACTAGCTTTGATCAGTATTACTGAGCTGTCTGTGCTAAATCAGATATACATGTAACTTTGGTTGACA